AGGGGAGGGACAGCGCAGGAGAGGAAGATCCCAGATGAGATGGATTGACCCAGTAACTGAGGCAATGGGATTAGGTGTGTTGGAGTCAGTGAGACTGGCTCAGGACAGGGCAGGGTTCAGAGCTATTGTCACTATGAGTTGCAGGTCACTCAATGGCGCATAACTATGGAAAGCAGTTTTACATGTTCTTTAAAAGTTAGTAATAAAATTACTATTTGTTCTGGCAATTCCACTACTAGATCTGTATTGTAATTAATTAAGTGCTACAACAGAGACAGATATGTGTACATCCATGCTCGCTGCAGCAATATTTACAATAGCAAAGATAGAGAAACAGCCCATGCACACCTCGGTGGATGAATGGTCAAAGAAACTATCATACATTCACTCAGTGAGAGAAACTCTAAAGACTAACTAATTCACAAAACACTTTATAATGTGAATGAGTCTAGAAGACATTATGTTATGTGAAATAAGTAATTTACAGAAGGGCAAATATATAAGACCACTAATAGGAAAAGTTAAAGATTTACACAGAGACTCATTCTTGGATGGTAGCCAAGGGTAGAAGAAAAAGAGGCAGAGCAGAGCAGAGTAAAATTGATACAAGACACTTACCAAGATTAGTGAAGGAGGAAATGATGTACAATAAGTAGATAATCAGACATTATAGGTATGTTGTTGTTGTTGTGTGCTGTTGAGTCTCATGTGATTCATAACAATCCTATGTACAACAGCTCTGAAGTTTGCCCTGTCTTGAACCAATTATAAAACAAAATGCATTTTAATGATTGAATTAAAAATGAATATACTTTGTAAACTTCTACTTAAATCACAAAAAGAAGTAGTGCTCAGACTGTGTCAGTGGTAAATGTCAAGTTTGTTGTTGTTATGTGCCATCAAGTCGCCTGTAACCCATAGCAACCCTATGTCCTGAGCCAACCTTATTGTCTCTGACTCACCTACCCCCATTACCCCAGTAACTGAGTCAATCCATCTCATCGAGGGTCATCCCCTCCTGTGCTGTTCCTCCATCCTCCCACGCATAAGGACTGGTCCCTCCATGCAACATGCCCAAAATATGTCAGATGGACCTTCAGAGTCCTTGCCTCCAAGGAACAGCCTGATTTCACCTTCTCCAGGATGAGCCTGTTTGTTCTCCTAGCAGTCTGTGTATATTCAATACTATTCTCCAGCATCACAGTTCAAAGGCATCAATTTTCTTTCTGTCATCCCTAGTCATTGTCCAGCTTTCTGATGCATGGCATGTAATTGCGAAGACCATGGCCTGGATCAGGTGCAACTTAGTCTCCAGACTGACATCATTGCTCTTCAGTACTCTGGAGATGTCCCTGACAGTAGACTTTCCCAATGTAATTTCATCTTGGTTTCCTGGCTGCTGGTACGAGCAGTGTTGATTGTGGAGCCAAGCAAACTAAAACTGTTAACAATCTCAGTCTCTTCACCATCTATCATGATGCTGCTAATCGGCTCAGTGGTGAGAGTCTTTATTTTCTTGATGTTGAGCTTCAATCTATATTGAAGGCTGAAGTCCTTGACCTTCTGCAACAAGTGCTTCAGATCCTCTTCAGTTTTAGCAAGCAGGGTTGTGTCATTTGCATAACTCAGACTGTTGATGAGTCCTCTTCCTCCAATCCTGCCATATTCCTCATCATAGAGCCCAGCCTCCCATATGACCTGTACCACATACAGATGGAAAAGGTATGGAGATAGGACACATCCCTGGTGTACACCCTTCCCAACTATAAACCATGTGGTGTTTTCATGCTCTTTTCTGACAACTGCCTCCTGGTCTAAGTTTTGCATAAGTACAATCAAGTGTTCTGGGATTCCCTTTCTTCTCAGACTTAACCACAGTTTGCTGTGATCCACAGAGTCAAATGCCTTTGCATAGTCAATGAAGCACAGACAGACATCCCTCTGGTACTCTCTGCTTTCAGCCAGGATCCATCTGCATCTGACATTAGCTATAATATCCCTAGTACCACAGCCTCTTCTAAACCCAACTTGCTCATCTGGCAGTTCTCGATTCTAGCCATTTTTGGATCATTTTCAGCAGGCTCTTGCTTGCATGTGATATTAATGATATTGTTCAATAATTTCTGCACTCTGTTAGGTCACCTTTCTTTGTAATGGGAACAAATATAGATCTCTTCCAGTCAGTTGGTCAGGTGGTTGTCCTCCAGATTTCTTGGCACAACTTGGTGAGCCTGGCTACTTGATTAAATATTTCAGTTGGTATGCTTTAAGTTCCTGGGGCCTTGATTTTGCCAGTTCTTTCAGAACAGCTGAACTTTTTCCTTCATCACCACAGGCTCTTGCTCATATATTCTTTCATGAAATTCTTCTGTGTCAAGTTTAGAGGAAAAGAACAATTCTAGATGTTTCATTCTTCTCTTTTCCCCATGACTCAAGTATATGTTGTGTAAGTTTATTGGGAACCAGTAGATTTCATTAGTTTAGAGCAGTGGGGGTCTGTTAGGTGGTTAAACTCAGCATTGTGAAGTGGTTGAAAATATGGAAGTATATGTCTGCATTGTCTTGTAATGTTGTTATCTCTACTGTTTTTCTTATTTACAAGATTTAAATATTCATAAATATAGGTAGAAAATTCTTTAAGTTATGCTTACCTTGAATTTTTCATAAAAAGTTTTATGAATTTTTCATAAAATTGGGGAATTTTTTTCTTAAAATTGCATGAGAAATAGTTCTCTATGTTGGGATCCAGCCAGCATGAGCAATATGACAGCCTTTTTAGAAACTACTAATTTTTCAGCCAACTTAGAAAAGCAGTAATAAGTACTATTATATTTGCATTCACATCAAAATTTCCCTTTTTTTCTCAAGTACAAATGTATTAGGTTCTTTCTTACCATTTATTGATGTCATTTTCTAAAACATTCACTTATTAACCATCTAGTTATCTGACATCCCAAGTTTACATTAATAAAATAGTAAAAAAAAATTCATCCAACTGTTTTGTGCATTAGTAATGTATGTCATACAGTACTAAGCTCAATGGTATATGGCAAGAGTAATGTTGGCTGTGATAATTTAGGTTATGTAGCAACTTGTTAGGCCACAATTCTCAGTGGTTTGGCAGTTTGATAATGCTATAATTTAACAATTATGTAATGATACAGTTTGTCAGTCATATAATGATGTAGTTATCCTACATTTTGTGATCTTATATGTTTTTTCCATTTTGCATAATGCTAGTTTTCAGATAACATACATTTTTGTAACTTAACAATATCTACGGGGTATATAAAAATATCAATAGCTAAGATTTCCTCATATTAAGTTTTCCTTAATATTCAGATATTTTAATGGTATGAAATTGTACTGTATACACTGTTGTTTTGTGTTGTAATAGTTTCTTACACTAATAACTCATTTGATTTAGGGTCTTTGAGAACTCTTCATGTATGAAATTCTTGTAAATCTGAGTTTATGATAGTAAAAATGTTATTTTTCAAAATTACCAAAGGTTTGTCATAGAAAATTAGAAGATTAACAAATTAGAAAAAGGTAAAAATTGTTCAAAGAGTTTGGCTTTTTGTTTTTATATTTACATTTTTACTGTTAGCACAAATATAAAACTATACATTGATGAGATTTTTGCACAAAACCACATAGCTGTTGTGTATAACTTGCTTGTGCACATAATGGACATAGTCATCTCTCCTTGTCTTGAATGTCTTCTACAATATAACCATTAGTGACTTCATAACCTCTCACTGTTCCTTGTATAAGTACACTGTATTTTTTTTATCTTTCCTCAGTGTAGAGAAAGAAGGGTCTTGCTATCATAAATAATAATACCATGATTATCTTTGTGGCTGTACATATGTACACATACATATGTAAAATCTAACCTAACTCACTGTTATCCGGTCAGTTCCAGCTCGTGAGGACACTCCAGATTTCTAAGACTATAAATATTAACAAGAGTAGGCTGCCTTGACAGCGGCACGTGGTCTCACACTGCTGATATTTCAGTCAATAGCCCAACAGGTAACCCACCAAGACTTGCTCTCTATATTTTAGTGTATACTCACTTTACTGCATCCTTAAGGTATACACCTAGCACTAGAAGTACAATGTCAAGAGATAAAATTCTGTGACTTTCCTATTTACTGTTAAGTAAATTTTTCTAGAAAATCATTCTTACATATAAAGAACCATATGTTGTTGACTCCCTTCGAGTCGGAACTGACCCATGGCTGACTCTCCAGCAAATTTTCAGAGGCAGTAAATGACATGAGAGGAGATAGTCCCTCTTTCTGCCACAGAGCAGATGATGGATTTGAACTGCATGCCTTTGGGATTGCAGCACAGCTTCTTATCACTAGACCGCCAGAGCCGATATGGTTGTTTTTAAAAGAGGGTAAAAGATTAAATAAGCCAATTCTGATTCAGTTCCAGCTCTGTATTTTGAAAATTGTCCAAGTCAGCAATCTGATTGCACACCAACCCTCAATCCCACCACCCACCCCCAAAACTGAAAACTTATGTTACAGAAAAGGCATTTGAATTGCTTTACAATCAAGTAGAATATAGCTCAAACATCAAGATCAGAAAGTCAGCAGGAGAGAACAGGAAGAGGCTGGCACTGCCTTATTGGATAGCCACAGAGGTCCCCACAGTCAGACTCAACACACCCCACTCTTTTATTTCAGCTTGAAGCAGCACATTATCAGCTTGCTTTTCAGTGCAGAGGTCATTTTCTGGTTCTGATTACAGTGCACCAAACTCACTGACAGATGTACTCAAGTGAATTTGATCTCTCATTTTGTAAATGGAAGAACAGCATGAAAGTTAAACGGCATGAAGAGCTTACCTCATAGCCTCCCATTTGGATTTAATTTCATGACTTCTTTGCCTGTGAAAGAAAATGGACTTTGTGATTTGTCTGTTTCTCCCCGCAGTAAAAAATATTCCTTGTTCATGAGTCTATGTGGTCTTTTCTTCATCAGTCTTGTCTCAAGAAGAAAATGAACTGGGAAAATTTCTTCGATCCCAAGGCTTCCAAGATAAAACCAGGGCAGGAAAAATGATGCAAGCAACTGGAAAGGCCCTCTGCTTTTCTTCCCAGCAAAGGTGTGTGACCTTCTTTGGGACTTTATTTGGGGTGGGGGAGCAGCACAGAGAAATTCTTGATCTTACCAACATGTGGAAGGAAAACCCAGGAGGCTCTTTAGGAAGCTCATGCTTGAAACTGAGAAGCTATCCTGTATTCAGATGGGAGGATAGTACTGCTCAACACTCTTGGTTAAGAGAATATAGGTAATTTTCATCTATTAGTTTATTTTTCAGTTCTTTAATTTCTCTTCTAATTTGTAGAGATGACATATGCCAGTCATTGTGAGGGCTGTCCAGGCTTGTACCTGACCTTCAGTGGTGCTCATTAGTGATTCTCTGATTGAAAGAACATCCCAATGAGCCCTGCTTGAAGGGTGCCCTGTCTTCTCTCTCACCAGTTGACATGAGAGAGAAGGTGTAAAGATATGTGAACCCAGATGCTTCAGATGTGGTCCCCGGAGCAGAGCTGCAGCAGCATTACCTATTGTGTTGTTGTTGAGTGCCATTGAGTTGGAACTGACCCATAGCTAACCTTCCAGTGGGTTTCCAGAGGCTGTTAATTGCTTGAGAGGAGATTTCCCATCCTTCTCCCACAGAGCAGCTGGTGGATTAGAACTGCGTGTCTTCAGGATTGCAGTGCAATTTCTTATCTCTAGGCCACCAGAACTCAGCATCGTCTGGGAACTTATTAAAAACAGAGAAGCCAGACCTCACCCCAGACCTGTATTTGAACCTTATTTTAATAAGATCTACAGATGATTCCTATGCACATTCATGTTTGATAAGCTCTTGTCATAATTTTTTTTTAATTCAGGGATAACTTATTTTCTTGATTTGTGTTAAATAACCTTACAGTTCTTTCTCTGTGCTTGAGAACAGTTATACTCTTTTCTCTGCTTGCCCTCTCTCAGTAACTAACTAATTTACCCAAGTGTCACTGACCAGTATTCGGTAAAATTATATAAGGCTCTGGTGGCTTAGTGGTAAGGTGTTGCACTGCCAACCCAAAGGCATGCAGTTTTAATCCACCAGCTACTCTTTGAGAGAGAGATGGGCAGTCTCCTCCTGTGTGATTTACTGCCTCTGAAAACCTCCTAGAGGCTCACCTCTGAGTTGGTTCTGACTCTATGGCACACAACAACAACAATGAGGCTTATAAGTTTCCAAAAATATTTAGGCTATAGAAATTTGACTTATTAAAATTGTTCAGCCTTTTTCCTCTTTGTGTTAATTTGTTCTTGCTGTTTTTCCTCCCCATGGTCAGTTTGTTTGTCTGTGACCCACAGACAACAGTTACACAAGCATTCCTATGGAAATTCTAGAAAAATGTAATTCATAAAAGACCAATGGTGTACTTTTTCTGATATCCAACTCCTGGGAATTTTGGTCTTTATGACTCTTTGGCCCTCTCTTTTAAGCAATGCTGTTTTCACAGTTGAGTGAAATGATTTAAAATCACCCTAAGAAGTAAGTTTTTTAAAAATAATTTATAATAGTTCACAGGCTTCTTTTTGGGCTTCTTTTTTTTAGAATCTTGGTTCTTCTTAACTGAGTGATTCATTATTGGTTTTATATGGAGAGAATTAAAACAGGAAAATACTTTAAAATCTACTTAAATTTTTCTAATACGTGTGAAAGTATCTTAATAATGTCTGAGCTTTTACTGATTTTTCCCCCCAATCTCACAATGATAACTGATTACTGGGAAATCATTAGAAGAGTGAGTTTGTATATGTTAACTCTGTAATTATTAATTCATTTCCGTGGAAAACATTTCACTATAAATCTGTGGACTAAAACTGGCATTTGTTTATGAAAAATAAAACCAAATTCCTACACACAGTCGTTGCAACAGTTACCATTACTGATTGTGTTTAATTATTCTGCAATATATCTATCCAGTTATGGCATTTGTAGAAATGAACTAAATTATTTCACAGGTATATATTTTTAAATATATTCCACAGATATAGTACCTAACCACCAGCTAAAATTTATGTAATTTATTCTTTGATACAAAGAAAAACAGTAAAATACATCAATGAAGCAACTAAAATAATACACAAAATTATCACAGATAGTAAACTAGCAAATTACACTGTCATTTAATGTAGTGTGGAAGGTGGCCATATGCATAGTGGCTCTGGTATTATGGTCCATAACAGCTTATCAGGAACATGAAATACAAACCAGTTCTCCTAAATGGGAATTAAGTAGGAGAATTACACTAAGTTCTCATAAAATAAGTTCTGTTCTCAGACCTGACTGGATATGATTTGGGTTGCCTGAATATGTTATTAATATAAATAGCATCATGTTGTACATTGCAAATTGGTATTTTTCATCAAGTATCCCAAACATCTTTTTTATATTAACATATACCTTCTTAAAAAATTCTAGTGTAGTATTCAAGGAAGCTCTGGTGGCCTAGTGCTAAGAAGCTATCCTGCAATCCCCAAGGCACACAGCTTGGATCCACCAACTGCACCCTGGAGGAAGATGGGCAGTCTCCTCTCATGCAGTTAACTGCTGCTGAAAATCCAAGGGTCGGCAGAGTCAGTTCTGGCTTGACAGTACACAGCAACAACAATGACAGCAAGCATTGTATTCAGTGAGCTCTGGTGGCTTAGTTATAAAGCATTACACTGCCAACACAAAGGTACATGGTTCAAATCCTCCAGCCTGTTCTGTGGGAGGAAAATGGCGAGTCTCCTGCCATGCAATTTTTACTGCCTCTGAAAACCCACTGGAGGGTCAGCTATGGGTTGGTTCTAACTCCATGGTATCTAACAACAAGCAGAGTATTCCATTACCTGCATGTGTCTTGATATGTTTAATCCCTCTGCTAACTACTTCGGTCACTTCCACTTTTTTTTCCTAAAGAATAAGTATTCTTGACGTAAACGTTTACACATTTCATTAATTATTCCTACTGGGTAGATATTAATGAATGAAAATATAGATTATCTTTCAAGGAAGGTCGATGTCTATAGTTACTGAGTTTTTCCTCAGTCTGTAATTAGTTTCTAATACACAAATTAATGAGTTTTAACCAACTTGATGTTACCTGAAACAAATTACAGAAAAGATGAACTGATTTTATATGACTTTTTCTTTCTGTCAGGATCTTAACATCTGCTATCATATCATTCCATCTTTTCTAATGTTTCTGTCCAGCTTCAAAGCTATTTATAAATATACTTTATTCATTCCTGAAAATATCTTTTCAGCCATTTTAGGAAAATTGGCAAAATTTAAGGAAACTTTAAGAAGCCTCAAGATGAGTTGGATCCTTGTAAAGGGAATTACTTGTAAATCTTTTTCTCTATAAACAGAAGTTTTCAATCATATAAACGTACACACTAACATTTGTTTTAATGTTTTGTTAAATAGTCATTATTAAATGACTTATTAAATGGCTTATTACATTCAGTGAACTATGTTAAAATTAAAGAAACCAAAATAAATACAAATGGCATGTTTGCATACTAGCACAACAATGTCTTTGAAGCTATCCCTCAATAGCTAGGTAGAACATTAGCAAGCGATGTTATGGAATATTAAAAAGCTATGTTCAGAATATTAAAAAGCAAAATGGAAAAACTAAAATTTTAAAAAGTCATTAAGACAAGAGGGACACTGGCAAAAGGTATTTTTTTTCCCCTTAAGGTCTGTTGCATATGAGGTCTATTACAGTGATACACCCATATAAGGCATCTTGGACATTGATAGAACTGCCAAAAACTGACTTCAGCTCACTAACACTCACTCAGTTCCCTTTAGCTAAATAAGTTTGTATTTAGAATGAAATGCAAATTTTTATTTTTGTTTTTATTTTTTTGAGCCTTGATACATCTTAAAGATCAGTATATTTTGTTGTTGTTGTTGTTGTTATGTGCCGTCGAGTCGCTTGCGACTCATAGCAACCCTATGTACAACAGCCCTAAACCCTGCTCTCTCCTGTGCCAGTCTCACTGCCTCTGACACATCCATCCTGATTACCCCAGTCACTGAATCAATCCACCTCATAGAGGGTCTTCCCCTCCTGCGCTGTCCCTCCACTCTGCCCAGCATGATGTCCCTCTCCAAAGATCTGTCTCTCCTTACATGTCCAAAGTATGTCAGGCGAAGCCCCAGAATCCTTGCCTCCAAGGAGCAGCCTGGTTTAACCCTCTCTAGGATGAATCTATTTGTTTTCTTGGCAGTCCATGATACATTCAGTACTCTTCTCCAGCACCACAGCTCAAAGGCATCAATTCTCCTTCTATCCTCCCTAGTCATTGTCCAACTCTCTGATGCATAACAAGTGATTGCAAAAACCATGGCCTTTATCAGGTGCACCTTAGTCTCCAGAGAGACACCGTTGCTCTTGAGTACTTTAGAGAGGTCCCTAACCGCAGACTTTCCCATCACAATACATTTTTTTATTTCCTGGCTACTGGTGCCAAGAGTGTTGACTGTGGAGCTGAGCAAACTGAAGCTGTGAACAATCTCAGTCTCTTCACCATCCATCCTGATGCTACCGATTGGTCCAGTGGTGAGAATTTTTGTCTTCTTGATATTGAGCCTCAGTCCATATTGAAGGCTGCAGTCCTTGACCCTCTGCAGTAAGTGCATGAGGTCCTCCTCAGTTTCAGCGAGCAAGGTTGTGTCATCTGCATATTTTAAGAATGTAATTAATCCGACATTGCTCATTCAGAGTTCAAGGACACCTGCTGGTCCATGAGAGAAAGATGAGCGGTCTCCTACCATGCTATTAACTTCCTCTAAAAACCTGCCCAACGGTCAGCTATGGGTCGGTTCTGAATCAATATTACACAATAGCAGGTACTTATAAGGAGCTCTGGTGCCTTAGGAGTAAGCAATTGCACTGCCATCCCAGAGGAACATGGTTCAAACACACCAGCTGCTCCATAGGAGAAAGATACACATTCTCTTCCCATCTGATTTACTGCCTCTGAAAACCCACTAGAGAGGGTGGGCTATGAATAAGTTCCGAGTGGACTGTACACACAACAGGTGTTTAGTGGCCCCATGAGCTTTGTTGGGAATAGGGGTAGAAGTAGAATTTCTCAGGCCAGTGAACATGATTAGAAAACAGTGGCCTTAACTACCCCCTCTGTCTGGGAACTGCTTGTGCAGCCAGTTCCATAAGTGCCGTGGGCATCTCAGAAAGCCCTTAAGGCCTCACCAAGACCTTACAGAAACTGGGTTACCCTAACCCTCAGGCAACCCTTGATAAAATTACAGGTATTCCCTGCTGTTACCCCAATTTAGTCCAAAGGAAAAGTATCAGCGTAGCTAAGCCCACAGAAGGAAGGAGAGGCAGGCTCCTTATAGTATACAGGGCATCTGCACTGTTCACTGTCTTAGTTGTCTGGTACTGCTACAACAGAGATAGAGTACGTGGGTGCTTTTTAGAATCTAAATCTATTCTCTTACCGTTTAGGAGACTAGAAGTCAGAGTAGGCAAAGGCTCATTCTCTAAGTCCTGGAGGAAGGTCCCTATTTCCTGCAGCTGCTGTAGGTCCGGCTTAAAGTCTCTATAGGTCTTACCTTTTCCTTGTGCCGAGGAGCTTTCTTACAAGACACACATCCAAAAGAACACACTCTATTCGTGCTGTTTCTTCTTAGTGCTCCTGAGAGCCTCCCATTTGGGATAAGAGAATAGAGGAAAAAGTAGTCTCTCCACCAAGAAATAAAGTTTGATTCGCTTACAACTTTTACTGAATAAATAAGTATGTTGCTTGCGTTGTTGTTATGCACAGTTGAGTTGGACCTGACACATAGCTGACCCTCCAGAGGGTTTCTAAAGGCTGTAAATCAGATGGGAAGTGATTACCCATTTTTCCACAAGGAGCAGCTGGGGGTATTTGAACCACATCCCTTCAGGTTGGCAGCACAACTCTTTACCACTATGCCACCAGAGCTCTTGCTTATAGACAGTTATGTTTTTGCTGAGTTTTTTTTTTAAACCCACTACATCATGCCACAGGAGAACTCAGGTGGTGTAGTCCACAGGAAGTTGCAATGCTGACCAAAAGACCTATCATCCCTAGGGCTGAAATCTGCCTATGGCTCCTGGAGGAGTAAGGATAATCTCCTCCTGTACAATTTAGAAAGCCAGTGGAGGGTCAGCTATGAATCAGTCCTGACTTAATAATGATGTTTCGTGATTTTTGGTTTTTTAGGAGAGATTATGGGATCATTTTAAAATGCTGTTGTTCCTACTTCATTCTTCCCTGGCTCCTAGAACAGGTAGCAAATGCCCTTTCCTGTGGAGAATAAGCCATAATGGCCTTAGTCAAGGAGACACTAGTGAAACAGACTTAAAGTCTCCTTGTAAAACTCCATTATGAAGAGTAGGAACTAAAAAGTGACCAATGGTAATAATGGAAAATATTCATGTCATTCTCTTGCTCCGTGAACAGCAGATTGGTTCTCGTTTCCAGAGGTCACTTTCCCCAGCCACATTGAGGAAGTACATGGTCATTGTATAGAGCTGACTTATCAGTTCACATTCACATTGAAGCTCAGGCATCTCAATTAAAAATGAGCATCTTCTGTGCTCCTGACACTTCTTAGTGCTCCTAACTTTAAGAGCGGTGGACTGTGGAGCATTTAAATTGTCAGGTAGTTTTGTTTCAAGATTGTGGCTTTATCCTCTTGTCTAGATTGGCCTTGAGAAATCCTTTGTGTCGATTTCACCAAGAAGTGGAGACCTTCCGGCATCGCGCCATCTCCGACACGTGGCTGACGGTGAACCGCATGGAGCAGTGCCGGACTGAATACAGAGGGGCGTTATTGTGGATGAAAGACGTGTCCCAGGAGCTCGATCCAGACCTGTGCAAGCAAATGGAGAAGTTCAGGAAGGTAGGCGGCTTATGAACAGGACCAAAATGGGTACCTGCTGGCATGTAATGAGTGTGAATCGAATCCCTCTGGTGAAGAAGACACAGCTCAAAAGCACTGAGGATGCAATTAATCATCACCGGTGTCTTTTTCTGTGACAGAATACCAATTATTGTGATATATATTTCTCTGAGGATAAGACAGAAGAGACAGCTGGAAATTTCTGGGCTTTAGTAATTGCTTCTAATTGAAGTCATGTTTTTTATATAATGTGCACTTTTTTGGGTAAGGTTGTCACTTCTAAATGCCTTTGATTCATGCATGGCAAAAAAAAATCATGATTAGCTCAGATGAAACTGGAAAATATGCACACACTCAGGGGAACTATTTTTTAATTGCTAATGCATATGAAAATGAATAGGGATAGTCAATGTTTTTGTGAAGTATTCTAAACAGTTTTGTTATGTTGTCGGTTGAATGACCTAATAGGGACTCCAGCTGCAATAAACCTCTTCAGATTTTTCTCTGAGGAAAATAGATGAGAAGATGGATATGCACTTAAATTTTCTTTAAGAAAATGGTGAACAACCAATTTCAAAGGAAAAGAAACCATTTTCAGTTGTTACTGTCATTTTTTTTAAGCTTATAATAGAGTATAAATTTAGCTGGGTATTTTCTCAGACTTTCTTATCATCAAGGGTCTATTTTACCACTAGATGGCAGTCATTCATTGTATATATACAAAATTGTCAGCATTTTGATAGGAATGATCTTGGTAGTTCCTTGCATATATTTCAAGGTTTTGAAAGACAAAAAATCCGCTGAATAGTAGATTGTTGTTGTTACATGCCATCGAGTCGCTTGCATCTCATAGCGACCCTATGTACAAGAGCTCTAAACATCGTTAGATCCTGTGCCAACGTAGTCATCTCAAATGCACTTATTCCCACCGCTCCTGTTACAGAATCGATCCGTCTCATCAAAGGTCTTCCTCTCCTTCGCCGCCCCTCCACTTTGCCAAACATGATGTCCCTTTCCAAGGACGAGTCCCTCCTTGCAACATGCCCAAAGTATGTCAGACGGAGCTTCAGAATCCTTGACTCCAAGGAGCAATCCGACTTCACCTTCTCCAGGACAAACTTGTTTGTTCTCCTAGCAGTCCATGGTATATGCAATACTCTTCTCCAGCACCACAGCTCAAAGGCAACAATTCTCTTTCTATAATCCCTATTCACTGTCCAACTCTCTGATGCATAGCATGTAATTGTGAAGACTATAGCCCGGATCAGGCACACCTTGGTCTCCAGCCTGATGTCGTTGCTCTTCAGTACTCTTGAGAGGTCCCTCACTGCTGACTTTCCCAATGCAATTTGTCTCTTGATTTCCTGGCTGCTGTTACCAAGAGTGTTGATTGTGGAGCCAAGTAAACTAAAACTGTTAACTATCTCAATTTCTTCACCATACATACTGATGCTGCCAATTGGCCCAGTGGTGAGAATCTTTGTTTTCTTGATGTTGAGCTTCAATCCATACAGGAGACTGCAGTCCTTGACCTTCTGCAGCAAGCGCTTCAGATCCTCCTCAGTTTCAGCAAGCAGGGTTGTGTCATCTGCATAACGCAGGTTGTTGATGACTCTTCCACCAATCCTGATGCCACATTCTTCCTCATACAGCCCAGCGTCTCGGATGATCTGTTCTGCATACAGACTGAAAAGGTATGGAGACAGAATACATCCCTGATGAACCCCCTTCTTGATTTTGAACCATGTAGTGTCTCCTTGCTCTGTTCTGACGACTGCCTCTTGGTCCAAGTATAGGTTTCGCATTAGCACAATCAAATGTTCTGGGATTCCCATTCTTCTCAGAGTCAGCCACAGCTTGTTGTGATCCACTCAGTCAAAGGCCTTTGTATAGTCAATGAAGCACAGATAGACATTCTTCTGGTATTCTCTGTTTTCTGCCAAGATCCGTCTAACATTAGCTATAATATCTATTGTATAAACTATCTGACTTATTTCAATTGGATCATTTTTAATTTGTGATACATGCTATCATGTAAAATTCTTGCATTTCTTTTTATTATTATTATTATTATTATTATTATTATTATTGATGCCTTTGAGCTGTGGTGCTGGAGAAGAGTATTGAATATACCATGTATTGCTAAGAAAATAAACAGGTTCATCCTGGAGAGGGTTAAATCAGGCTGCTCCTTAGAGGCAAGGATTCTGATACACTTTGGACATGTTTCAAGGAGGGACCAGTCTTTGGAGAGGGACGTCATGCTTGGGAGGGTGGAGGGACAGAGCAAGAGAGGAAGACCCTCAATGAAATGGATCGATTCAGTGACTGGGGTAATCAGGGTGGGTGAGTCAGAGACAATGAGATTGGCACAGGATAGGGCAGGGTTTAGGGCTGTTGTACATAGGGTCGCCCGCTATGAGTCACAAGCGACTGGATGGCATATAACAACAATATTACTAATTTCAATGAAACTTTACAGAGACTTTGGATTGTTATTCAGTCATTATTGCACTTTTCTCCCTGCCCCCCTCCCCCAGTTTGCTCTTCTCTTTGAAATTTAAAAAAAAATCCTTTCATTGTTATACAGTCCCTCCCCGCAAGTCCACTCCAATATGTAACCTTCATTTTGGACTCCTGTCATGACAATAATACCTAATCATATATTCCCTTTAAACAGTTCTCTCCTTCACCTGTTTCAATGAAGTATACATAACTTATCTCATCTTTCTCAGTGTTCCCCCAACCCCAATGTCAGTCCTGTGCAACAGTAGCACTATGCAGTATTTTGTGTCTGAGATATCTCACTCAGCATAGTGTCCTCCAGGGTCACCCTTTTTGTATAATATTTTATGAGTTCTTTGTTTTTCAATGCAGCGCACCATTTCTATGCAGCGTACACTATTGCACATGGAAATTCTTGGTGCCTTTAGGATTAGATATAGGACCAACATGAGAGGCCAGCTTCTAGTGCATCAGAGACTGGTCACCTAGGTAGTGAAATATACAAATTCTTTTAAAAATCAAGGTTCTCTTGGGTTGTAATTTAGAATCCTTCCTTGGCGGTGGGGGAGGGGAGGAATTATATCCATTTTATTTCTGATTGTAGAAGTTCTAAGTAGCATATACCTTCTTGGCAAGGCAAGTTTTAGAAAACATGGAAAATCAGAGCAGCAAAGCCCATTAGAGAAGTCTAGTGAGCTTTTGTAACCTTCATTTTGTGAATGGAAAAATCCTCAAGAACTCAGTCCCATAAAAACAAATCTTGTATAAAACCAACCATGAGGATCCAAGGGTGGAAGCAGAGGCATGAGGATGGACTGGAGGTGGGGTGGGGTTAATCATAGGGTCTTACAATTTGATGGGGCGGTGAAGGAAATGGGGAAGATCTGGTGTGAATAAAAATGTATTTGAACTTTGTAAATAAACCAGGACAAAATAAAGGAAAAAAAAAAGAGTAAATACAGATTTTCAAGGCTGATAATAGATGTTGTTGAATGCAGCCTACATTGAAAGAGTAGTAACTTCCTTCTCAGGATTTTATTTATCTTTGACACTGTCTTTGGAGGGTGGAGGAAGATGAAATGGAGAAGTTAAAGATAAGGGGGAGGGAGGTCCAAATTGTCAGCAGAGCACAGCCTCGTCCCTCTGTATCTAAGTTTCCTTTAAGCTTGTAGTGACCACAACTCAGATTTTATTTAATATGTGAGGAAAATGATACTCAAATTATTTGCCCATCCAAACTCAGACAAGGAAATGAAAGCCAGACTCCTAGAAAATATATATGTCTGTTTTTCCCTTAGGGAAGTAAAAGGAAGTTGAAGAATATATCTATAATTGACAAAAGCATTTTTATAGTAATACTTTTCCTGTGGTTTTGTGTTGTTTTTGTTTGGTTTCTGGTGCTGGGTTGGTTTTTTTTTTCATTCAATAAACCTTTTACTGAGCACCTCTTTTATGCATCAGGTTATAAAAATAAACACAGTTATTCTTGAAAGCAGGAGTTCACTCATAGGTATCTTGTTTTGGTTGGATTTGGGGATGGTTGCTAGCTTTGTAAGGATGCAATAATAACCAAGCCCTTCGTCATTTGGTTTGAATGCTGAAATATTACCCACTCTTCAGCATCATCCATCTGTAAATTCTGGAAAATATTATTTCTTTTAAAAAAAATAGGTTTGGCATGCAAAAGTAGCTGAAAATGATGCCTTATTCCCCAATCTTATATATGCTGAGTTTACTTTAATAGCTGAACTTTGAATTTTTTAAAAGAAGTGCTCATTCAAGTACGTATTCAGTCAGATTAGAATCCCCACAATGGTAGGGAGGAATTCCTTAGCTTTTTCCATTGTAGAAACCCCAGGACTGACCCACAGTTTGACCACACATTCCCTCAAAAGACTCATTTCTATGAATCCAGAACCAACGATGACCTTCCAGTGAGTCTTCGAGACTCTGTAAATTGCACCGATAGAGACTGTCTTTCTCCTGACCCCCAGAGAGACTGCATTTAGGCTAGTTTTCTGCAGACGAGGCCACCAGAGCTCCCCTGCTCTCTGAGGGCCAGATTCCCGCCCCTAGGTTTGAGATGCCAGGCTCATGCGTCCTCAAATGTGTAAGGCTTTTGCGAGATATGAAGCTGACCTCATTGTGTTTTGGAAATTGGCCTGTGGTTTTGCAGGTAAGAAGTAGCATAATTTGTGGCCAGCAGCGCTTTTCAGAATGAATTTCAATAGTGGAGTTTGCTGTTCACTTGGGGTTTTTAACATGAAATTTGACTTTGGCCAAGCTTTAGGGGTTTGTCCCCGTGGAGTCCCATTTTAAACAGAGACTCCATTTATTTCTCATGAACATGTTACTGAAACATGTTTCTGAGTCATGTGGGAGATGGGGCCAGCTGGGAGTGACTCTTAGAGAATCATTGTGGGAGGGGGAAATTTCCGGTTCCTTGGAGCCAGCTGCTGCCTTCACATCTCAACTGGCAAACCTTGTGCTGTTGT